ACTGTCAGGAAACTCAATATCTCAATAGCTACTATGTGCCCTCTCCTCACAGACATAGTAATCTGACTATCAACAATAAACTTCTTTTATACAAGTCCATACTTTACTTTACGCCAGTCCTGTATGGGGTCACGCCGCTAAAACCCACATAAAAAGGTCCAAGTTATTCAAAATAAAACCCTTATTATTAAAATTATTAATGAATGAAATTATTAATGCACCCTGGTTCATCCAAATTCATATTATTCACAGAGATCTTCAAATTGATACTATACAAAATTATAAAAAAAAACTTGCAACATTTTTTTTCCTTTCTGTACTATTACATCCAAACAGCTGTATCAATTCTTTGCGATGCTCTCCTTTTCCTAGAGAGAAACACAAATATCCTTCGGATATTCTTACCTAACATTTTGTTAATTATTTGAAGTACTTACTACCTTACTGATCCAACTTTTTTTTCACATTGCTTGTCTATTTTCATTCATTACATCTTTCTTCGCCGACTGATGGCAGCTAAGTGAAATATCCTATTCTACCATCTCGATTCTACTTATCATCCTTTTGTTGTTCGAGACATTCTTTTATCTGATGCAGAGTAAAAGCGCGCTGTTGCGCTTTGTCACTCTCTTTCCATTCGACATAAGTCAGAACTTCAATTTTCATCTGACTACCGCCACCAGCATCACAGGGTGGCACATTCATTAACCGCTTTTAAATTTCTTTTTCAGCTTCCTTGATGTTTTCCTGCTACAGGATCCTCCTGATTTCCCATCAAAGCCATGTCCTTCTGAAACTCTTTCATACTGCTGCGAAGTACTGTATTTTACCCAGTAGAAACCCAGCATACCTACTACAGTATCTTAATCTATCTTAATCCTTCGTTACAGATTTCGGTACTCTTCCGTTTTGCCGGCGCAGGCGATAAAGGTACAACAATAATGATACAACTGATGCCAAACGGAATATCCTCGCTGGTAACCTTTTCGCCTCATTTTCAAAACAAGTAGCAGCCATTTCTTATCAGATTGATTGTTTCTTTCAATACTGGCATACAATTACATAGAATTTTTACCAGATAGTTCAATTTTATGCCCTAAGGCCGTTCTCGGTAATTAAATCAATTAGGATGCAATTACACCGCTCACCCGAAGACAAAAATATAGAAAAGGCAAAGTCAAGGGTCATCAATTCTAATCAGAATGCATTAGCGAAGTAAAGCACTGCGGTTTTACATAATTTCTGAGTAAGCTATTCGTACGAATTGAAATAATTCTTGCATTTAAACTTGTATTCCAAATTAAGATTTAACTTGAAATTAATGTAGATAATTACTGAGAAAATTACATTTTTGTAGCGTAGTTTACGTGAGATGAGATCACTTTGGGATCGCGTGATATGAACCGGCGAATCAGGATGTTGAACCGTGAAAGCATAGTAAATTTCTAAATTAATGTCTTTTTTACAAATTTATTGTCTTTATTTATTGACTTTTTACAAAATTTTAAACGATATTAAAATGTTTATGCCTTAATAAAAAATTCTTAGAACTAACATTTGTTAACTTTTTTTTTCATGTGTATACTGTATGTTGTCGCCAATAAAGTCTGCTTGGCGAGATTAGCGCTGGCGAAACGGAAAGGTATGCAGATTTCTTTGCCGCAGGTAAAGAGGGACCTGTTTGCCCTCGAAATCGAAAAGTCTTCGTTAAAATCTATGCTAAATACCAGACGGTTACTTCGCCTAACTGTGTGTTTTGCTTTGGCGTGTTTCTCTTCTTTCTTGAAATGTATGAGATGTTTTCCACTTCTTGCAATTATTTAGAGTTCTAGTACTGAAATATTATAAAGACCGAACGGAAATTCGTCCGGCTGTCTGAAAACGTTAGGCCAGTGTTTACATTAAGCAAAATAGAGTTTAATCTTATACATTGAATTGAAAAGCCACGCAAAATATTTATGAATGTTAGTAAAAATTTAATTGATTTTACAGTTTCGCTTTGGATAAAACTAAAGACACAGTGACTTGAGTTCCGTTGTAACTCTTCTCTGTAAAGCTCTTTTTTTCTGTATGTAAAAATACTATTAGTAGCCTTTCATTTTCTGCATTTTCTGCAATTATTGTCTCTCTTTAAAGCTTAAATGAAAATTACATAGTTCTTGTATTCTCATAAAACTGTCATTTTTAGTTTTTTGGCAGCAAAAGTACTATATATGAAAATCTTTATTAATTTCTAATTCATTTACTGATATACAGCTTTAACTATTTTAAATAAATTATGGCACAGATAGTTTTATCTGCTCTGACCCAGAGCTAATTAATTGTTTTTCTTAACTTCATTTTCTTAGAATTCTTTTAGTGATCGCTTCATCAGTATGTATTTGTAATCTGATATTAAATTCATAGTTACTTTTCTAACATGTTCTGGCTATCCTAGATATCTACTTAAAAATTACTCCAGACTAAAAGAAAGAAATTTACATTTTATTGAAATAAATAATAGCAATTTAAGATGAAAAACTGTAACTAGCTTAAGGATAAAAACAGACATAAGATAAATTCTCCTTAAAACTCGCGAAATATCGCAAATTAGCAAACTACTGACAGAGCAAAAGCAGTAATCACCGAATGATACTCACATGATTCTAAACTAAGTCACTAAACTTGCTGACTAATCTCTCCAAACGCAGCTGTATTTATGGGGTTGCGCAGCAATTGTAAAAGCTTCACGAAAATCACTGCTAGGGTTTACCAAACAAAAAAAAAATATATTAGCTTTTCGAAAATGCGTTTTGCATAAATTTTCGCAGTATTGCCAATTCTGAAAAATCTTTAAATATCGCTAACACAGCTGTAGAGACATTAGATATTTTTTGGAAGCAGACAATATGGAAAATCAGCAAACAACTTCGTCGGGAATCGAACCACGGACCTCTGGAATACCTGCCCAGCGTGCAGAAGCACTACACCACGAAGGCACGCTAGGGAGGTGGGAGAAATACCTTATACAGCACAAAAAGTTGCCGTCAAGACCCGTTAAAAGAGTTTCTATCCATATTTAAAATTCTATTTGAGCTATCTCTATAGGTAAAACATCAATCGATTCAGAGTCGTAATATCTGTAACATAATGCACAGAACAAACACTTGCAAACATAAGAAGTGGTGAAAAATTCTATTGAACAAAACTGTACAGTACATTTCTTCTATAAACTACACCAAATAAATAAAAACATGTAACAATACCAAAAACACATGAAAATAAAAATGCAATCAAAATAAGCACAAATATTTATTTTAGTGGTTTGCAACCTTTTTTCGCCCCATGTACCCCTTTCACCATTACTAGAAGATCATAGCCCCTTCCTTTCCAAACTTGAGAAATACATATATACATTGGTATATTGTATAAATTAAACAACAAAATGTTGTTAAATACAAGACTTTAATAAAAGTACTTTTTTATATAGTACATAATTTAAATCTAAAAGCTTAACAGCTAAATAAAAGGCTAACCGCGTTCCATCTCTGAAACTACGAAATTCCCCCTGGTTGAGAAACACTGAGTTTATAAATTTGAAACTTTTTATTCTCTGAAATAAAAAAGAAACTGGAAACATCCGCCCTTCCTCCTCCTTTAATCCAAGTAAGTCTCTCGAAGCATACACTGTAGGAACTCTGTCATATATTATTCTTTGGAAAGAATGGATAGCTCAATCTTGTTTCTTCTTAGATTTCATTGATATAAAATTCATTAGCCATCCAGCCAAGAGCTAAGTATCGATCGCTTCCACTCCGTTGCTGTCATTTTGGAAGATTAATGAAATCCACTTTATTACCTTTTTATGCTCCCCCCGTGAAAATAAAAACCATTACTTTGCCTTCTTGATAACACTGCATGACATCACAAATGTAAAAGGTGTACATCTCCCCTGCCGCTTTTACCTATTTTTTGAAAATGCCTTTCGTTGAATTAATATTTCAGATTTTGAGTATTGTTCGACAATTCGCATTTTAGATTTTGGAACTTTGTGGTATTAATGTTGATTTTTTCTTATCAAAAAGGCTTGACATACTTATGTGTATGTTTTACAAAAGTATAGTAAAATTTTTATTTCAGAATTTAGCGGAAAGATTAAATGCATGCAATATTTTCTTTCATTTCTTTTATTAAAACAAGAAGTTTTGAAATTTTATATTATATATATGTTATAACTTTATAAAATTGAAACTAACTGCATTCTGTTAAAATTATGAAAAGCATTTGCATTTTAGAAGGATATTAAATTTTAATTTAATTCTTATATTTTACACTTGCTCTTCAAAATTTTCACCAGAAACTTTTATAAACGGAAAAGCTGTAGAAACATTAGGTACTTTTTGGAGCACCCAAGATGAAAAATTAGCAACTCCCGCCTTTGCCGGGAGTTGAACCTCGGACCTCTCAATCACGCACTGAATATACTGACCACTAGACCACGAAGCCTCGCAAAAAAGCAGGAGAAATACCTTATACAGTGATTAACTGAAAACATCGTGAGAGGAATTTTATAAATAATATAGTAATCTTGGGATGTCAGTGTAAGCAACTGCCTATTATTATACACCTACTAGGCAAGCATGCTGACAATATAATATGGCTTTGCCTAACGCTATTCTAATTTTAAAGAAATCAGCTCGGTATTACAATACCTAAGAATCATATTCCACCTTTTCTTACCGCCAGCTCCATTAGAAAATTTTGGAAACAACTAAATTTCAGTGCTTCTAACTATTAAATAAATCCAGTAAACTTCACCAGGTCCTGTTATGGTTTTATCTTCAAAATGTATTTGAATTTATTTAATATATGAATTTATTTTAATTTATGAATTATAATTTATGAATGTATTTGAATGTATTTGATCTGGTAGGCAGCTGTCAGGCAGGTACTAAAAAAAACCAGGGACCCCAAAATCTCACAATCGACCTGCCTAAGCAATATACTTATGCTGCACAACAATGCCATCATCTCGAGGCCAAAAAGTAAGAGGACTTTCCCAAGGATCATGTGCGAGTGCTGAACTATTGAACATTTCCTTTAACCAGATCATTGCACATGATCATCACATTAAATATCAAGCCAATCATGGAATAGGGTTTACTTCTGTAAGCCCCATGTGATACTATGTGGTACATGGGGAATTTATGTTTCTTTAATAAAACAAAAAAATCATGAAATAGAATTATAATGCATCTTAATAGCACCATCAAAGTATACATCAATGACTGAAAATCCATCACAGATATCTTTCAAGGTCTCGAATTGTGTCAACCATACTCCCCCCAAAAATGGGCCTTCAGTAGTTCTCTATTCCACAGTCTAGGTAAGTGAAATACTGCAATGTGTGTTTTATCGAAAGGCAATTTAAGATTCTCAAACTACTGTATTATGACTGTAAATGAATACTCTTGCACCGTAGTACGAATGTATAAAATAAGTACATTTAATGAATTAGAGTTCCGTGCTGTGAAACTTCCTAAGAAACTTCTGTTCATTGAATGTTCAATGGGCCATGCCAAGAACTCTAATTCAGCAGAACGAACATCAATAACAACAGACGTTCAATAAACACTGGTCCAGTGGAAATTCTGTAAAAACTCCACTTGTTAAACTGTATCACTAATAAATCGTGCGACCACTGTTAGCATCTTTCCTGTTATTATTGCTAAATCATTGTCATAATTTTGTTGTCACGGCTAAATACTATATTACTACGTTCATGGGCACCTTCGGGGATTAGTTAGTGTGCCAGGGCTACATCAGATTTGTCTGCGAAGCTGTGATGGTGCCTTGCGCATATGTTCTTGTTCTGCCCTACGTCTAACTATTCTAGTAGCACTTGGTAAACATTTTAGAAATTTATAACAAAACCAACAAAAGTGAAGTACCTTTCAGAACTAGAGCAAGATATATATGACGAAAAGTCCTTGATTTATTCGTACCCATCAAGAGTAATAGATTCATGTATAATCTCTACGAATATCAGCAAAATATCTGCATAATTCCGCGAAGTGCTGAACAGGCCCAATTTCCTTGCAAAAGTTGCGGAAATCTGAGTCGTGCAAATGAAATCTCTTTAAATAAAATGGAAACCTGCCATGACCAGTAAGAATTTGATGTAGATCAATATCAGCGTAACTAAGTCCCCTTCTTAATTTCAACATATTTCATATTATGACTATTGCGTTCAGAGGTTTCCAAAACGTCCTCCATTTCTCATAGATATAGTTTTCATTCTGATCATTGCATTTCTTTTAGAGCCCTGCAACTCAAACTGCCCAGAATCCCCGTATGTGTCCTTAGCCAATTAAATTAGATAATATGATTTTCCCTTAATTCTTTATTACAATTCGGTTATTTCCATGATAAGCATATTTGTCTGATGTGAGGGGGAAGGGCTGGAAGTACATGTAGGCAGTCAGAATACATACATATACTGTAGTTACTAATCAAGTTCTTTTGGATTCTTTTTGAAGAATATAAAAATGCGATTGCCTTTGCTTGATATACTGAATTACATGCATTTAGCTTGAGCGTAACATAACGAATCGTATGCCGTCATCAAACTTCTGCCATTGTGGATTATACCCCTCCGGATTAACATTTTGTGATGTGCATGACGTGGTATTCTACGCAGTATCGATCCTATGAAAATAAACCTAGTCGACAGTTTTGAATTTTGCTTTAATAATCTAACTGATGGAATTTTAGATTAAGTTAGTATGTAATATAACTAATGAAAATTTTGTAAATTGTTTGTAGAAATACTGTAATTAACAATAAGATATTTTATCAGCATATATCATGCACCTGATATAAAATTCTTGTTTAATACTATATTCATTGATATGATTTAAAATGCGTTAAATTATAAAATATTTCATTTATATTAGTATTATACCTTTTTACAATTAATAAAAGATAAGCACGGATATTTTATTTTTTTATGTATTTAGACAAGAACTGTATCAAAATCCTCTGGGGGGGGGACTTGTGATGCTATGGAAGATCCAGAACGAACAATCACGGTCTTTTGAACTGTACTCTCTTCACCTGCATGGAAAGGAATATTTACAAAAGAAAGTTCCTGTAAAAGAACGTTTTCTGCGAAAGAAGACATTTTTGTAGCCATTGTTCAATGATACAACATTTAAATGAACTGAGTAATGAAAAAGAAAATACACTTACTTCTCAAATGGTAGTGAGAATCTTACTTATTCAGATGATAGTGAGAATGACACAATTGAAGATAAAGTGCTTTATGATTTTCGCCTTTTTTTTTTCCTTGTGCGTGTGTGTGACCGAATTTTCTTGCCTTTGTGAGAAGAAAATTTTTACTCTCCAGCAACAAAAAATAGGCCACACTGATCGGCGTAATAGTTAGTGGCACCGTCTGCTAAATCATTAAGGCCGGGTTAGAATCCCAGAGATGGCACGGATGCTTGTAAATGTATACTGTCCTTGCGGAATGGAGTTACCTTAAACCCCGTCGAATCAAATAGCCCTCGAACGTTTAGTGGTAGAGAAAGAGAGTTAATAGACACTTGGATCCGTTCCCCAGAGTATTCTCCATCCAAATTGGCGCGATGTTAAAGAAACATTTTACTATCACTTGTAACATCTTAACCAAAGCCTGCCACGTTCTTTCTCTTGACCATGATTAATTTGTGAAGTGATCTAAGTGGATATCTCAGACAAGGAGAAAAAGTAACAACATTAATAACGAAAGAAGTAAAAAGAACTAAAAGAACAAGTGTAGGCTTTGCAGTATAAGCAAGATAGTGAAATTAGTAGCCTGGTGTGGTAAAGCCTGGTACTGGTAAATCATATGGGAAGAGAAACATGCTAGTGTTAACTTTAGAATGAAATAAAAGGAAAACCTTAATTTGGTATCAGTTTTGAATAAAATTCTGTAGATTTGAGAGCGATAAAGCACAAGTTCTTCTTCTTCAAGAGCAAAAAAAAGTGGGGGATATGTCATGTTTTTGAAAGTTTTGCGCATGAAAAAGCGAGACATATCTGATCACCCTCGAAATAGTTAGCTCTTTCAGTCGATAAAATTTTTAATTCAGTTATGGCATATGAGTTTAACTCTGCATCCCGAGTGCAAAATAAGATTTAAATATTAAGAGTATCTGCTTTCATGCATTTCATACATGGTTGAAACTTATAACGTTTTAATAATTTCGTATCCTATTTGAAAATGAGGTTCTTAAATTTGTAACTTTCATCGTTTGGAAAAAAATCTATTTAATATCTATTTTATTAAATGAAATCTAATTACCAAAAATATTTATTTCTTTCATTTATTTTTCACCTTGCATAGTAAAATAATTCATAATATCCGATTTAAAATTCTGTTTCATTTCCTTGCAGCACGAAACTTTCAGTGCCGGGTCCCCCACGTGCCCCCGCATGGATCGTCGCCACTCGTCGCAGCCATCGACGGTGTCGAGCTCGATGGGTGGGGTGGACATCTGCCGTATTTGCCACTGCGAGGGGGACGCAGAGCTGCCTCTCATCTCCCCTTGCTACTGCGCCGGTTCCTTGCGCTACGTACACCAGTCCTGCCTCCAGCAATGGATCAAAAGTTCGGACACACGATGCTGCGAACTCTGCAAGTTCCAGTTCATCATGCACACTAAAATTAAGCCTTTTAGGAAGGTTAGTACCTATCTTTAAAGATTAACCAAATTTTTTTTTTTTTTTTTTTTTTTTCTGTTATAAGGTGACGACTAGTATTTCAGTCGATAAATAGTTAGCTCTTTCAGTCGATAAAATTTTTAATTCAGTAATGGCATATGAGTTTAACTCTGCATCCCGAGTGCAAAATAAGATTTAAATTAAGAGTATCTGCTTTCATGCATTTCATACATGGTTGAAACTTATAACGTTTTAATAATTTTGTATTAAACTTTGTATTAAATTTTGTATTAAACTTTGTATTAAATTTTGTATTGAACTTTGTATTAAACCTCAAAAGGGTAATTTTGTATTACCCTTTTGAAACTAAATCTGAGAAATTCTAATTATCTACAACAATAAGTGTGATTTCATCGTTACTTTTTGACAGTAAATATTTTTCTGTTAGCTTGCCTTACCTTTCAAATCCTGGCAACCTGCTAAACAAAAATTTACTTCTTTTTACATATACATTCCTTTATTATTTTGATTCTTATTATTATTCTTACACATACGTTATCTTCTATTTATGTTCTCTTCAAAACCTTTTCGTCTCAGGAATTCAGTTATTTGAAATCGTCAAAAGATTCTTTCTCATGTTTTCAGATAAAGGCCTTTAATCCATTTTTTCTCTTCCCAACGTAAAAGTCATTACGGTATTAGAAGTAGTTATAACAACCTTGTACCCAGACCATTGCATTCTTATATCAATTACAAAGTTACTCTGATTCTCCCCCTCCCCTCCAAAAAACGTACTTTCAGGTAATTTTCTCCCTTACCAATAAAGTTCATTTTCCGGTTCTTAAGGATTCCATTTCCAATATTAGTTCTCGATTTATTCTGGAAATATTATTCAGAAAGCTCCTTTAGTTGATGAAGTGGATTTTCTTGAGTCTTAACGCATTCACAAAAAAGAATTTATTTCCTTCATGCGTTTCAGTTAAACTCTTTTAAAACTTTCAAAATTCGAATATTTTAACTTTTACACGTTTTATTATTGTTTTCCTTTACAAACATCATTGCATATGTTTTCGTTGCTCTCAGCTCATTGATTTTCATACAAAAAGGCTGTCGCACGTTTCTGTTCGTACGTTTACTAGTCGAAAAAACAGTTAATTATTGTTATTCCAATACATTTGTATAACTCAAAATACTGTTAGGTATAAACCCCGACTACGCTTTTTTAAGCATTTAGCATCATATGATAGTTCGTCCCATTCATCAGTTGTATGAGTTAATGAACGTATTACTTCTAACAGTGAAAATGCAGATTTTCGTAAACATCAGTACCCATCAGTTATGGTGTTTGAAAATAAGAATATTATGATTGTAAACACTAATAAACTTCGTACTAATACTGAAACGAACTAAATTAATCTTTACCTCTTACAATCACCTTTCAGCAAGTAAGTATTTCATGCTTGTAAAACAACAGTGCTTTTTAAATACTTTGAAACCTAGAATTAAAAGCGCCTCTTTTTACGAATAAATCATGGGAATAAATAATGCCTTGGATTACGATTTGTCTCGAGGCACAAAAACTCACATTGGCAGCGTTTAATTTTCAAAAATGCTTCGAGGTAACCTATGCGACATAATTACATATAATTAACATTCAGGGACCTAAACGTCATTTAGTATTTTCTATTGCGCAACTCTCATTAAAAACGACTAGCAGTAAATGCTTTATGGAGGTATAACATTGGCCTGGAGGAAATTATGGCCAGATTGGACGATGAGCAGTGGCTATAAGCCCGCTGACACTTACGCCATTTTTGTTATTGTCGGCATTATGGATCTAGACAAACCGCGGGTTAGGAAGTTATCAACGAAGATGTGTGGGGAAGCTATTAGCAGACCATAAAAATTAGCTCAACAAGCGTGAACTGCACACTTCAGATGCAGCATACAAAAGCGATTAGGCAAGAAATGTTCTCAAAAGAAACACAAGGAGGAGAAAAAATTATCCCGTTCTTTGATCCGCAAAATTTGTATAAAACGGGGTAAAATAAAATATATTGGCCTTATCTATGTATCTCTAAGGCAGTAGCAAGTTACAGCATAACCATTTTTAATGGCATTTCCATGTCTTTCTTTTGATATATACTACCAACGTTGAAAATGCAACACCAAGAAGGATTGGGCAGAAAGTGACGAAACTCGGAAAACAGACAGAAACAGCAACCAACAATGAGTTATCTTTATTTCGAAATGATATGCGTACTAAGCGAGAACAGCGTCAGCTCAGTAGATTGCAGGACCATCTTGGATGGCGATACACGAAGCAAGACAGTTAGGTAAAGAATCAGTGAGACTACAGATAGTGTTCCGAGGAATGGCTCTCCATTTTCTGTCAACCATATGCCACAGTTCTTTTGATCGCGACAATGACAGGGTCTACAAATGGCGTCCAATCACATCCCAAATGTGTTCCACTAGTAATACATTGTAATACATTGAGGGTACAATCAGATATTCATGGTCATGGGATATTAGGAGAGAACGATGGCCACGTAAACATCTGTACACCTCTCAGAGTATGTTGGCTGATGTGAATAGTGTGTGGTCGGGCGGTATCCTGCTAATAAAGCGCAGTGGGCACTCTATGAAGGTAGGGGAGTGTTACCAACCAACAGCACACCATCCACATATCGTTGGGCCGGCCTAGTTCCCTGAATACGAACTAGGGGTGATCTGGAGTCCTACGCAATTGCGTCCCAAACCATGATGCTGCGTTGTCGCGCGGTGGGGCGTTCCACAATTGCTGCCGTATTGGACCTGTCTCTACATCGAAGCCACACTCGTACGCGACGACTATCATTGGAGAACACGATCCTGTGCCATTCCATCGTACGCATCGCTCGACCCCGAAACTATTGCAGACGTTGGCGTCTATGATGTCAAGTCAATGGTAGTCTTCTTAACGGACGCCACGAGTGCAAGCCACTAGCCACCAATCGACGGCAACTGGTTCTAGTCGATATTGGAACATCCAAGGGTGTCTTGAATATGCTGCAGAATGCAGGTAGAAGTGGCTTGCGGGTGCGCCGCCGTTTGTCGGCGGATGCGTCGATCCACATTGGCTAAAGTCACTCTGGCTGCATCGGAACCCGTTAAACATATCACATTTCCTTATTCCAACCATCGATGCCACGACCAGTGCATTATGGACACGTCCAGGTGTGTGTCAGCTGAGATTTGCCGAATGGACCAATCTGCCTTTCTCAGTCCGATCACCATGCCCCTCGTAGAATCGTCTGTCTGATGTAACTGTCTCCATTAACGAGGGCTTGGCATTCTCTCTGTTATTACACGCGTCCTCTGAGACAAAAACAAATTTCCTACGATGATTTCCCTGGCAGAAATAACGGCACAAAATTGAACAATCTGCAGGTTCCTTCCCTTGTATCTTTTTCAACGTGCGCTGGGCAGCTGCCCATTTCACATCATTCGCATAACTCTTTGACGTGCGTCTGCCCTGAAATTTGTATAATTTTCGGGCCCCTCCTTTTTGATGTTGTATTTTCAGTGTCGAGTAGTGTATATTTAAATGTAGGCAACAATTATCGATCTTTTTATGGAAGGGAATTCCGCATCTAAACAATATCTCCCTCATCAAAATTAAATTTAATTTTTGTATATTTTATTTGTTTAATATTGTGTTTATCTTTTTTTATTTACATTTACCGATTTTCATTGGTTTTGGGTTATGCCTTGTGCACCAATTACATTTGCAAATTTTAAATAAACAATCATCTGTGGTTCAAAGTTGAATTAATCCATCATGTATATTGTGTTTATCTTTTTTTATTTACATTTACCGATTTTCATTGGTTTTGGGTTATGCCTTGTGCACCAATTACATTTGCAAATTTTAAATAAACAATCATCTGTGGTTCAAAGTTGAATTAATCCATCATGGTAAAATTGTTTCGGCTTGCGAAAATTTCGGATGATGAATTAAAATCGGGAAAGAATCCAATTCGTGAAATGAGGTTTCACTGCATTTACATGAATAAGTGCCAGCCTCTGAACTATGCTAGTTGCAGTTTTATCTGCATATTAGATTAAATGAATTTGAAATATTCAGTTCTAGATTAGCTCTGCGCTCATAAAATAGTGAACTTGTATCAACTGAAGAGCGGCTTTCTGTCTAATTACGTATTTCAATAAACCACTCTCCCTCAATGGCGACTTATCGCTTTTATTTTAAACTGACTGCGGAACAATAGACATATATAATGTAAAATGATAATTTAACTTTATTTTATCGCCACTTATAATCGCCGCGATCCTCTCATAAGTTAACTTAAGGTAATGCAAGCAACAATTCTATGTCTTCTTGAATTAACAGCAACTTAAGATAACACAAGCAAAATTTCTATGTCTTCTTGAATTAATAGCTATCGACCTTAAGGTACAATAATTTATAACTATTGCAACAGGGATCCTTCTTGAATCTACAGCTATCAACCCTGTTTAACAATCTACCTTACTAAAATTCACACTTACCATAACCGTGCCCAATGTTCGGTTTTCAATTTTAATCTGACAATGACATTTGCTAGGCATTGCTGACGGCAGCAGCAACATCCAATATCTCCACTACAAGTCAGGACAGTTACGATCTCTTCAGTTTAAACCTCGCCGTTGCCTTAAAATTTGCATAAACTCAGGACTGGGCGATTACGTGACGAAACAAGGCATAATGAAGATACTTAAATCTTAACTTTTAATTAAATTTAAATGCCACACCAAATTATGTTTAAGAAGTTTTGATAAACGTTTTTATAACCACAAAGAAAAGTAACATAGTTATGGTATTATGTTCACTAATTTTAAACTAGTCACAGGAATCTTCGTGATTTCATTCTTCAGTGAATCATAACATGCACAATTAAACGGACATAATCAAGTCTCTCACTGCTCCAAAATAAAAAAAAATCGCTTTATCTTTCTCTCGAGCCGTACCTATACTTACT